ACCTTCCCCCCTCGGGGACAAGATCTGCCGAACATTGATTCCTTTCATTGGCTAGTCACGGAGACAGCACAGTTTCCTTTAAGCTCTTCATCGTGATGGGCAACTGTGACCCGGCAAACTGGGATTATCGCCATTAAGGTTGCATTCAAGGGTTAACACGTAATTTTCTAGCGCCCGCTTCTAACTCTTCGGACACCTATTTTGACAGTTTTCATTAAAGGTAACTTTCGGGCATGTTTAATTACTCTCTTTATTAAAGAAGAAGAAAATCTTCCTCGTGTGTCATAACGCATAGAAGAATATCCAGATTCATATAAACTGATGGAAAAAATGATGATAATAAAGAATTAATTTAGTCAAAGAAGACCCCCGACGGTTCTTCGTGACTAACGTCGTGAAGTATGTGTATATATAAACATTTTTGTATAGTGGAGATAAGCGGATTTTCCCATTGTAAACCTTTAAAGTGGCGTGTGAAGTTAAGCCGAAGACGGAAAAAAGTGTGGGTGGTCGCGGACCAGTTCCAGAAACACTAGATGATATCATCCGACTTAATCATTATGGATTCGATAGGACGAAAGTCGCTGGCGAGAACATCACGCACCACGCTGACAGCCGTCTCATCAGGAGGTGTGTCGTATTGACTCGCTTGTCTCCATCACGGCCAAAGCTCGGTGTCACATCACCGATCGAGTAGTAGCCGCGATTTGACCCCCGTTTTTTTTTTTGGTCTTTTTTTTAGTACCGGGCGAACAATTAAGCCCCTTTTACGAAGGCCGTTTGCATCCGTAGGCAGATCCACCGTGGTTCCGCGAAGCGCGGTTTAAGCTTAATAATAAGTAAGAAGAGTGCGGGAGGGGTAGGAAGGGGGGAGGGAGAGCGTGCTTCCCCGGAGGGCAACCCTTTCGCACGAGGTGGCCTCCATTAACCTGGTGCGGAGAACGGGCGCAGGTAAATCACCGAAGTCAAAACAAGGGACGAATGTAGCGGAAAGCGGAGGCAGAAGCGGTGAATATTCAGGCGAAGGAGAAGTGGCGAGGGCATTAGGGACATGAGGCATGAAGCCAACGGGCTGGAAGATATCCTCCGGCGAATGGCATTTTTATTCAAATTTGGCAGACATCGGCCGGCAACATATTTTCCGCGGATTTAGGTGTCTCACGCCCTGTTGCGTCCTCGTGCGTCGCCCTCCGATTATCGCCATTGAAATTCAAGGCCAAGGCGCAGATTAGGGGAAATCAATCAGGGCTTCGGGTGTCTCACTGTTTATAGAAATGTTGCTCTTCCTCGGATGGCACCGACGGTGTTCTGTGTCATTTGCCATCCCATCTTTTTATCGCATCTTCTGAATTTTCCTAGCCGCATTATCTCCTCCTGTTTCGCTCGAATATGTTTTCTTTTACGACGCAGATCTGTCTTTTGATATTAGACACCCAGGATATTTGTTTCTGTCGTCGACAATGATCCATCGCCTCGCTCTGCTCTGCACCACTTTTCCTCCCGTCTCCGCCAACCACCGATCCACTCCGACTTATTCCGCTTCCCTTCTTCTTTTCTGCAGATAAACACGGATCGGATTTTGCCAAAAATTTCTCCTCCCCCCGTTCCGATTTCCTCGCGAAAATTTCATCCTACCCAGCGATCATTCGGCCTCTCATTAACGTCTACGAAAGGGGTGATCGGTGCGGGGCCCGCTTCAATCGACGCGTTGTCATGGTTACCGTTCCTAGCCTTCACGGACATTGCTAATTAATCACCACGGTTACAGTACCAGATAATTTCTTGACTTATTTTTGAAAGAATTATCTCTCTTTTTTTGGGTCTCCTTCAGCCGTCAACCCGTGCATTACCAGTCGACTTTAATTATATTCGAATTTGTAATAAAATCTCATTAATTTGCCTATTTAAAAAGCGGATGATGTCACCTCGAATTTTTTCCTGCCTTTCTCCTCTGGGACCTTCTTCCTCTTCTACTTTATGCCGAGGGTTTTTAAGGATGTTTAAGGCACCGGGACGTTTAGACTAGTGCAAGAAACGTTCCTTATTCGGATGGAAGATAACGGAGAATGAAACCAATAAGATAACAGGCTCCCTATTCTGTAATTATATTCTGATGGGAGAGCTTGCATGACCGCTGTCTCTTTCTCCCCTTCGCAGTCCGTCGCCTAGGATACAGACGGCACTGTCCTGATGGCTTGTGACAGCACTGGGGTCCTTCTATGATTATTTCATACGGCAAGCTCCAGTGATCTCTTTGTTTGATCCAAAAGATCGACCGTTCGCCAGATGAGGATAAAGATAATGCTTTCATTAAAATAGATGATGTCACTAAATAAGCCAAAAAATCCGTGACGTCACATCCCGAGTTTCATTCGAACCTTGGCATTTATTAATACTAAGAAGCGCCTTGTCCTCGCGTATTGACCTTGACAGATATTATTAGAAGCCCAAAAAAAAACGGCGTTACCGATTGTTCCTGCGTGCGGGTACCCGGAAAAACTCTTTTAAAGAGAAATTGTCAACTTACGAAATATTATTTATGGCCAATTCTTGGTGTATGATGCAAGTTTCATTCAAGATTTACGTGGAATTGGAGCCAAATGGCGATCTTGGAAAGTCCCGAAAGGTTAGAATAATACAATTTGTGTGTTAATAAAAGAATACGCGGTGGCATGGTGTTGGAATATTTAAAGTCGGTCCGATGTGGAGAGAAAATTTGAAGGTTCCTTGGCTAATTTTGCGTCGGTATATAGATAGGGGCATTGAGTAAAAGGAACCCTGCGCGAATAATAAATAGCAAATTGCCATCAAATCTTGTTTGGCAGACAATTGCAGACGACTCAGGTCGTTACACCGAATGCGAAAAACTTATGTCGGGTGGTAGAACGGAATAGAACGGCCGTTCCCTACGGTGGAGGGGAAGAGAAAACAGAGAGATGCGGAAATAAATGACACCGTAAGCCTAAAGTGTCATTGTGTCACCTTGTGTTATAGTATCATCTGTCGTGCTGATATCAGCGAGCTACCGTTCCAACCTGCTGACAATCACTTGGAGATTTTTCTTCTTTTTGTTTCCACTCCTTTCTTTCTTTCTTTTTTTCCTCCTTTAAATTGAAATGATGCACTTTTTAAAGATTGTGGTGGCGGGCCATTTTCGGGAATTTCTACAATTAAGAATGACGGTGGAAACTTAATAGAATTTTGTTCAATCGCGGATAATTTATTATCCTTATGATGGTTAACAATTTTCCTAGACGTTGACAAGATGGAGGAAAAAATCTGGAGGTGGCTGACGTGCCGGTGGCACAGAAGAGACAACCACAAACACACAACATCCCGTTTTGATTTATGGTCTTTACAGGATTGCAGATTAATTACACTCGGGGGTCACGTGACGGGTGTAATAGAATTGATAGAGTAAGGTGGAGTTGACAACCACTCGGCCATCAACAGGTTGATGCGAGTCTGCATTAATTACATCCAGTTAGCAACAGTCGAGGTTTGTCTGGCAAGAAGCCGACTTTTTTCTCGTCGTCTTTCTCTCATTCCGCTTCTCGTATTCTTTCTCTCTTCCTCTCTTAATTACGAACTTGGCGCCATCTTCTCCTGTTGCCAATGTAAGTATCCGCCTCCCAACAGTTCGGTCCCCTGTTCTGGGTTGAATGGCCTCATTATCTAATGGGTGTGATGCGTCTTTCCTCCGTTTCGTGTCTCTCTCGACTCTACTTCCATTCTCTCATCCTTCCTGGTGACAGGCCTGCAACGTCCACCGTCCACAACGTATTCCCTTATTGGTTGGCTATGTTTCAACTATTTCGTTACCAATGATATCAGTTTGGAAGTTTGCCAGAGCCCATGCAATATTATTGCCGATGCAATCGAATCTCTAGATTTATTCCCTACCAAACAATAGCAAGATTGTTATTAACCGTCACTCAATCTGGCTTATGGTATCTCGATCTGGTTTCGTCTAGTTTCTCCCCAGAAAATACATTTTTTCCAAAATTCATTTCGTTTGCATCGTTCGCTACAAGGAAAATGGTTGCCATAAACCACCCAAATAACGTTCATCACGCTGATTTCACGGTGCAGTCACGAGTCATACTCCTTTGACGACAGAACCGCAGGAACGTGACATCAAAACCTGTCATTACGGAGTTGGTGTCGTGTGCCCACCCAAGCAGCATCACAATATCCATGGCCACCGTACCAAGAAACGCGAGTGCTAGTTCCCACGTTGGTACAGCAGTCTTTCCTGTCTTTCTCTCTGGGAATTCTCCTATCACTTTTGGAAAATCTATGGAGACAATAGAGAAAAGAATAGGTATCAATTTATCTAGCTCTTCTGCTTCTCCCTCACGGTACAGCTTGTCTTCCAATTGTAGGATGGGGAGCCTGATTTTTTAGGATTTCAGATTAGCATGGGAATAGCAGTTCCCAAAATGTCACTCATTCTACGCTGTACGGAGCCCTTCTAACTTTTTACTGCTCGCATTTGACACAAGTTGCTTTTTCCTCCTTCTCCCCCTTGCGAATTTTGACGTTTTTCTCGCTAATCTGATATATATTTTTTTATTTTTTTACATAATTTTAATGTACTAAATACGAAAGAGCGTTTTAATATACATCCTAATCCCTTAAGCTTACGTTTAACAAGGACTTCCTGTTTAAAAGTGCAGGAATGATGCTTTAATTTTGAAGTTTCGGAGACATTTTATTCCTCTATAAATCAACTTTTACGTTAGCAAAAGTGCTTTTAATTGAATTTTACTAGATGAAAACATTCTTGCTTTTTGAGTTTCGTGCTCCTCTCTCTCTCTTACTATGAAGTAGTTTCACTTACCGAAGGCTATACACAACCGAGTTTAGGAATTTTAATTAATAATATCATGCGAATTATTATTATTATTTTTTTTTAATATCTTCTTTCATTCCGCGTTTAATTATTAAGTGAAATCGGTGTGGTCCACTCTTGGTTGATCAAAGTTGTTTTATTCTAGTGCTCAGTCTCCGGAACACCCAAGAAGAAGAACCACCTGATCCGCAGTTAATGAGGTTAGACAACATGCTGATAGCCGAAGGAGTGGCAGGACCAGAGAAAGGTGGCGGTGCCAATGCAGCTGCCAATGCGACAGCGGCAGCGTCCAGTGGTCCCACTCAGTCCGAAAATGCCATAGAACACTCAGATTACCGTGCCAAATTGGCACAGATACGACAAATATACCATCAAGAGTTGGAGAAGTACGAACAGGTGAGTGACTCCTCCCATATTATAAAAAGGAAAAAAAAAAGGCCACTCAACCGCGAGACCTCCCTTGTTGGGTTGCCAATGTTCTTAATTGCTTTTCTTAACAATTATAAAAAGGTTAAAGTTGGTCTTTATGCATTTTTATATCATGGCGGAGCTATTAACCTAGCGTGCACACCGGTTTTTCGAACACTCTCTTAAAGGAAACTGGAAAATTAATATAAAAAGTATATATTATGGTAATAGAAATGCATTGGTGTAATCTAGTCGCCAGCCAAGTTGGAAAACGGTGAAGAGAAATCAGTATCAAAAAGAAGATCCTTAATTCTCCATCTCATTATTTCCCTTACAATGGTCGCGAGATTGCATACTACTGACTAACTGAACAGGAAACACAGTTTAGGAGAGTTGAATAAAAAAAAAAAAGGAGAAGCACATAATAGAAAAAGAGGTCGGTTCGACGTGACGAACAAGAGGCAGGATTAGACATGTTGTAATTAGTAAGTTGTCTTTGTCTCATTCTACCATCGCTTAATTAAAGTAGCCAGGACACCAATTTGTATGGTAATGCCGTCCGTCAGACAGCCAATTACATGCCTTCATCAATCAAGTGGTACCCTCCCAACTGGCATTTCCCACCCCTAGTCTGTCATCACTTTTACAGTGGGAAAAACTAGATACGATTGTCACCCTGTTGAACTCGCAACTTACTTGTTATAGTAACTTGCCTCCCCCCTCATTCAGAATAAATCAAGGTGGATATCATTAAATATGATGCCCTTAATTATTTTTTGCACCGGGCAATAAATCTGCGTACCTACTCGGTTGTAATCGAAGTAAACGTAACACAACGAAGAGAGATACGTGTTTACGAATTCGCAAGTTGTCTATTTTAGAGAAAAATTTATATATATATATATTTCCTCCCCCTTTTTTTCTATAAAAGATACTTTTCAAGAATTTTTAATAGGTAACCTGGCTGAATATCCGAATGGCAGTGTGCTGCCTACATTTTCCTACGTACATTCAACTGGATGTCCTGTGGACGCAGGTGTCCTCATCTGTCACCTTCCCATCCATTCCCCCAGAGACGAGCCGCCTATAACAAACGACCGAGTCTTCTTTTCACAAATATATTCTATCTCCCACTAAAATCCCCAGGGGACTCGAGGGGTATTAGGAGCTGGAAACCTTACCATCTGTGCTCTTCGGTTGTAGTGTGGGTAAAGCGTGTTGTTTTATGGCTCTTTCCCTTCTACTACTACTACAACAACTATACTACTACTTCTACGGTAGCTTTAGAGCCCTTCTATTGATAGAATTGTTATAAAAATTATCTCTCACTCCTGCTCTGATCCTTGATCATTTTTAAAGATTCTCCTCTTTCAGTCCATCGAAAGATTTTTCTGTGTCTCAGTAGCGCATGATTTCTTCATCCGTATCATAGAAAATTTAATTAAATTGGACATTCCTGAAGAGTTTTCTGATGAACGGATGCTCTTAGAGGTGAGGCGGATGTGAAAAAGTGTTGAAGCACGTTTACGAGATAAAAGAAACATGGCGAAAATTATATACGACACGCTTACTTGCAGCCAGAATGGTCGGTAGAAACCAAATATTTTTCTAACAACAAACTTCCATCTAAGCTGCGAAAAGTCCAATAAATAAAAATAGTAAACAGTGAAGATCCTTCCATCAGAAAAAAAGTAGAGGAGAAAGCCCACACGTAGACACCATTACCGGAAAAGCAAGCATTCCCTGTTGCTAGTCTATAGCGTATCGAAAACTCACACATATAGAAGGTCGAGTCGGCTGTGTTGAAAGCCACCTCCATTAGAGTTGTTGTGTAGGGTGTGAAAAATTGCACGTGGCTAGCAGATGTATAACTCACCTGTCTTGTGGCCTCAGACAAAGACGTATGGCGTCTCCAATACCGACAATGTAGGTATCACCCTGGCTAATGGATGCTCGCATCCACCGGGATGTCTTAATCGCATCAGAAAGAAAATTGATTGTGCCCCGTCTCGCTAAACCGCCGAAATATGACAGCTCCCATAGACGGGCCGCATATGTTGCAAAACTCTACACTTTCCCTCCTCCTCCTCCTCTTCCTTCTTCGCTTTGCCGTTCTCTCTCTGTGTGCAATTTTTCGGTACCCGAGCCATGCCGGGTCACGTGACGGGCAAATACGCCATTTTAATTAATTTAGTCCCGGACGAATCTGTCAAAGGGGCTCTAATTTATGAGTTTTGTAAATCTACTTCATTACTCCGGTCCCGCCAAATCCTATTAGGTATTGGCGAGGTAGAAATTTCGGATTTTTCTGGCTATAATGCATGATTATGTTACTTTCCGATTTCCTGGACGCATTTCGGCTAATTCATTAAAAATTATTCTGTCAGTAGTGTTGCTGCACGGTCCCACCGGTGCCATCCATCTTAACTGGGCTACCCATAATATCATTAACTTTTGACGCCTTATCCAGCGAATAGAAACCCCGTGAATATTTTATTAGCTTGTTTTTGCCTTTCGTGTATCGGAAGCCCATTACTCGTCCACCATCCCAAATCCTATTACAATCATATGTTTTTTCATCCTTTATGTCTTTCGGCTAATTACCGTCTCCCGTCTTTCTAAAGGCTTTCCTATAGTCTCTGCGGTCACTTAATTGTTATTAAATAGCTTCACGCCCAGCACGTGACCTTTCACCTCCCTTCCTTCTCCCCTTCTCGGTCCAATTGCCCAAAGGTCAGCTCGGGCCTCATCGTCGTGGCGTGTCATCGAAGAAATCATAAATCTTAGCCACCACGCGTGATATTTATTACTGCCTAGGTTATCATTTGCTGTTGCTTCGTGCATTATATCCTTCCTTAATGCACAATTGTTTCCTTCTCTCGCTACATCATTGATGCGAGACCCATATGCTCAAAACGATTGCTTTATCTTCTCTACTCGCCAAATGAGGTAGCACTTCCTTTTTTTAGGCCAAATTTTCTCACCTCTAAGTGTCTTTATCCCCGGATTTTCTCTTATGAAATCAATCCCGACATGTCTTTATGTCAAACCCTCCTTCCAAAAAAGTCCTAGAAGTAATCCTTAAATCCTGAAAACAGATCGAAAATTGATATTATGAAATATTTAATTTTTAAGGATCTTCTGCATCCATCCTACATCAGTGTCGAATTAGCGAGTGGAGAGAAGGAAATTCCTAAACGTCATCCTTATCATTGGTCGACGATAAAAATCCTTACGAGTGAACAACGATAATAATATTACTAATAATAATATAAATTTTATTTGCGAGTTTTAGTGTTTGTGTAATCATCCTCATCCTATTTCCACTTCATAAATGTTTATTTTTGTTAAGTAAAGAATTAGGATCTCCATTACCCGTCCGTCCACCTCATCCTGCACCATTACACACTGCAGACGATGGAGGGGGGACCAAATTACACTAGTGAAAGACGATGTAACGCTTTACAGGCACTTTGGACCAACCGACGTTTCATAAGGGTTATGATTCCCTAATCACATTGCACTAGGTGTGTTTTCTGTATGCTTTGACAGGTCGGCCACTGTTATATTAGATTTAGCCTCACCCAACCGATCGTTCGACAAGAAGAGAGGGGTTTTTTTTTCCTCTCTCTCCTCCTCTTTTTCTTTCTTCCTGCGTAGTTTTTTCGTGGCTGGCTCGCTTTTATGGAAACTTAAATTAGTTGTTTCTACTCCCCATCCACTTTATATAGGAGGGTATCCGTTCTGTACTTAGAGGATTGCTGGGTATTATGAAAAACGATATGGCAACCGTCTTGTCTGTCTGTCGCCGAAAGGATGGGTGGAAAGCTTGTGTTTTTATATATATTTTTCTTTTCTATCCAACAGAAATGAGCGTTATTATGAATGCAACTCGTTAATCCGTGACTTCCTCCCCTTTCACTCTAAGATTCGTGTAAATTTAAGCGGACAAAACTGAATACGATCCGTTTCAGCTGTAATTTTTTGCAATTAAAAAAGAATATCGGGTCTAAAATTAGTGTTTGCAGCCATATTATTCTTGATAATGTATATATATATAAGAGTTAAAGCGAGTTTTTCTTGATTGATTGCCTAGAGAACAATACCGCCATTTTATGAGCATACGAGAAATAATTTCACTTTAGGTCGTTTCGTGTTTAATAGACACTTTATTTTGCTTTAAATTTCGTAATAATTTCTCTCTCTCTCTTTTTTTATTATTATTTTCAGGCGTGCAATGAATTCACGACGCACGTTATGAACCTTCTACGGGAACAGAGTCGAACAAGACCCATAACACCGAAAGAAATCGAAAGAATGGTGCAAATAATCCACAAGAAATTCAATTCCATCCAGGTACAGTTGAAGCAGAGTACTTGTGAAGCTGTCATGATTTTAAGGTCCAGGTTTTTAGATGCGAGGTAAGGAAACACAGTTTATTTTTTTATTTTTTTCCTAACGTTTCTAACTAAAATATATCATATTTAAAATGTATATATGCTTATAAAAAATATTTCGAACTCTTGCCAAAATGACTAGTTAGAAATTGGTAGCAATTTTCGTGATGACGTAGAGTTGGAAAGTGATCTAATGGAATTGGGCGGCACAGATCGAAATTTGTTACGGTTTACAGCTGCAAATTAATTTCTCTCAATCCGACTGAGTATAACGTTGGTGCGTGATGGAATATATCTTAAACATGTTTTATCTCCTTACAAAAATTGTAAATTTCGATTACAAAATGACATAAAGCAATTTAATCGCGATAGAAAAATTAAACAGTTTGTTTTACGTCACTTAACATCGACTCTCATTAAAGTTAATTTTATCCTTCTATCTCGTAACATATATGTATATATAAATACATATTTTTAAAACTTAAAATATTCATCTTTCGGCTTTTAGGGAGGTTGACAAATTGGCCCGCTTTCTTTTTTTATATAAATCAGTTTATATTGACATTGAACATGGAAATGCCTGCACATCTTGTACACTACTTCATCCCGCATCCAATGCTACCTTTTGACAAATACAGTTCCATTTTTCGTTGTCATAGTAACCATCAACACTTCTCATTTTCGAGGTTGGTCAAGCGTGGATGAACATATCTCTCCAAGACTTTTTTCGTACAATGATTAAAAAGTAATCTCGTAACTTCCACTACAAGCACAAGTGTATCTCCCCAATTGTAATCCCTAACCGCGCATGCTCTTTTCCTTTAATTGCTGATGTTTGTTTTTGGATTTTTATCAGATTTTTCCCCCCGTTTTCTCAACGTTTTTTCTTTCCCCCCTCCTTTTACGCTCTTCTTTCATACCGCATCTGTTAATTCACAACACGTGTCGACGCTTTTAATATTAATTACCTACGTATTTTTTTTTTATTTTTCTCTCTCTTTCTCTATCTATCTATCTCTCTCTCTCTCTCTCTCTCCCTCCCCCGAAAAAAATTTTTATATATTAATAAATAGATATTTAATTAAATTATCCGATCGCTTTTGTCCTCGTACACAACTTATTAATGCGAAGGAAAACGCATTTTCTCTTCTTACAGGAGGAAGAGGAGGAATTTTAGTAAACAAGCCACGGAGATCTTGAACGAGTATTTTTATTCGCATTTAAGTAATCCTTATCCCAGCGAAGAAGCGAAAGAAGAATTGGCCAGAAAATGCGGCATTACGGTATCCCAGGTAAGCGGAACGTTCGTCTGTATGTTCGTATTTTAAAAATAAATAAAAAAATACTATAATTATTAGCTTATTATTTTTATCTGGAAAACCTACTGAATTATTGAGAGGAACGAGAACATAAAATNTTCTCCTTAGGGATGTTACACCCGAGCGGATTCGGCGCGCTTCCTCCTTGACGAATGTTTGGAGCATCCCCGGGGATGATGCTGCTGCCTCTTACAATCCTCCCTCTTCGTATTCTACCAAGCATATATATATTTTTTTGTACTTTTTCTTCTTTGGTTATACCTCGCTTGGCAGATTGCCAGATGCTTTTGCTCCGATGGAGTTTCATACTATATTTGTCGACATTTGTACTCCTCTTGATAATGATTGCGTTGTGCGCAAGTTAGCTAGAAAACGACCATTTAACTATTGAAGCGCCTGAAGAGATCTTCATCAGCTAGAGATTCCATTTTTCCCCTTCTCATTCTTTTTTTCTTTCCTCTCTTTCTCTTCTTTTTTCTTTCCCCTCTCCTTCTGTCGTTTCTTTATTTTATTTAATGTCAAAGAAACGCTTCGTTCTCTAACGAAATATATATATATATACCCTAATAATGTATCCTAGCAACTGTTGAAATATATAGAAATCTGAAAAATTTTCTCTGTAATTTTACTTAAATTTTCTTTGGTTTTCGTGTTTGAAAAGTCTCTGGGGTTTCTCAGTCGAGTAACTCGCTGATCCTGGGAATTTTTATTTATATTTTTGTATAGGAGTAGTTTATTTTATTGTTGTTTTTTGGTAGGAATTTTTAATCTGGTTTTTATCTCTTCCAGGTATCTAATTGGTTTGGTAACAAGAGGATAAGATATAAGAAAAATATAGGAAAAGCACAAGAAGAAGCAAATCTATACGCTGCCAAAAAAGCAGGTGGGTAGTTGGAGGATTTTAGAATAAATTCAAGTTTCTTACGTAATTAAAATTTAAGAAGAGCGAGAAAAAGATAGAAAGAGAGAGAGTGAGGAAAATAAATAAAATACACCCCTGCTAGGCGAAAGGGATATTTTTTAACCGGAAAAGAAAAAAAAAGTATCTATGACGTCACGGGCCGGCTAGCCAATCAACATAGAATATCATTACAAGTCTCCCATTAAAATGGAAGCCGGTGAAATATGCAACATCCACAACCGACAGACGGAAGTAGGAGATAACGAGGCTAAATTTTCCTCACCTCATCTCCGTCCTGGCGTCTCCGCCACTGTTTTCCAGTAGTGACGGTTGTGTACACATCCCTTTATCGCAGCCCCACAGATCTGTTTGCACGGAGAAGATAAGCCGTTCACCCGACTGCCGCTGTTTGCCTCCCTCGCTCTCTCCGACGAAGCTTAACTGGTTGCCTTCTTCTTTGCATATTTATTATTTCATTCATCAGCAACCTTCCAGCACACTCACTCTTTGCCCCTTCCCTCGAGCGCCGTTTTTTTTTTATTTTTTATTTTTTTTTTCTTTCCTTTCTCCCCTTTCTAAAATTCACACACACACACACACACAGCAGGATAGGAGAAATAAATTTTAATTCTGTTTATCCCACTTTAAATCTGTCGGTTTGTTTGAGTTAAAGCTTTTGGCCGCTGGAGGAGAGTACAAGAAGAATTCCCCATGTTGTTCTCCAAGACAGTTTTCAAAGTCCGGAACAGTTGCCTGGTATGTAAGATTACAGCACCGACGATGGAATGCAGTTCGGACGGAACGGAATTCCGCAATATTCTTGCCTCGGAAACGGAAAAAAAAATCTTACGATGCTACCGGCAAGTATTACATTCCTGACATATTCTCTCGCAATGCTTACAAGGCGGAGTGTCATCATTAGCAGCCACGTCACCGGANTCCCTTTTTTTTTTTTTTTTTTTTAATTCTTTCCAAATCTCGCACCCTCTGCTAGACAGCTTTTTAACCCAGAGAGTCGTTAAGCTGTAATCTGCAGACATTTACCATAAGTGGTTTTCTTTTTATCTCCGTCCGACTGTGAATTATTGATCCGTAACCGTCGTTGTTTTTCCTTGACCGTCTTAATATTAAATTCTCCACTTTATTTCTCATCTGAATACCTGATCATAGACTCGAAAATTTGAATATTCGAAAAACTGACACTTCCACCAATCGAAGCGTTTTAAACGTGTGACGTCACGTCTAGCCGATGAAGTTTTGCCAGAAGGGGGCGAAAGGGAAGATTTTTTTTTATTTTAATCGGATGACGTCACGTCCGCCCATCAAGTTTTACCGAAAGGGGGCGAGAGGGAAGATTTTTAATTTTAAATATAATAAAGGAGGATGTTTTCGGATGACGAGCTTTGAAGAGTCTTCTATCTTCTTCATTTCTTCTTCTTCTTTTTTTTTTCTTTTCCTTTCGTCGACCTGATTTACAATTCGGTGTAATAAATTCATCATATTTTTCGGTGTGACGTCCATTCGTCGGTAAGGAATTGAACGAGTCGAAATTCACTTTAATAAATTCTCGTCGTCTCTAACTCATCGTAAGGTGAATCCAGTCAATCACGTAAAAGCTCAACTGAATTCTTCCATCTAGCTAAATTGCCAACACCATCTGCCTTAAGTGCAGCACTCAATGCAAATCCCAATCCCGTTGTACACAAAGCCTCATAACTTCGGGATTCTTCCAAATAAGAATAAACTGTAACCGAGCGAATAATTTAATGCGATTATCATATATTAAGCTCTAATTATTTGAAATCGGGATAATGCAACACGCCGAATCTCTCGATCTTCTCATTAAAACTATGCCAAAGTGTATTTCGAATCTTCTTCTTCTCCTAAGGATAAGCTAAAGCAAGGAGAAACTCGTTACTAAAAGAAATCTTTAATTTCGAATTTAAATTCTCCTTAGGGACGTTACACCCGAGCGGATTCGGCGCGCTTCCTCCTTGACGAATGTTTGGAGCATCCCCGGGGATGATGCTGCTGCCTCTTACAATCCTCCCTCTTCGTATTCTACCAAGCTTAAAAACATCTCTTTGGTTCACAACTAGTAACCGAGTCCCATACGCGACTATCATCCACGTGTCTGCCCTTAAAGGATTGGGAATACCCCGTGACACATGCACATACAAACTACCTCCTTTGGGTGAATGGTCGGGTCGTAGGTGGTTGGTGTTACTATGACAACACCTAATGCAAACGACTATCCGGTGTTTGGGGCGAATTCAGTCCTTTGGGAACGGGCCAGGTGGTCGGCTTTAGACTTAAGTCGTTCGCGTGCCTCGTACCCATTATCTCTGATCGCTTCTCGTAGGTGTTAATTAGAGTGGTACGTTGGTCACGTTCAACCAACCCTCCCTATCACGTCTTAACTTCTAACGTCACTACCGATCCTCTTTTATTTTGTCTCGTATATTCAAATTTTTGAAATAATTATGCATGCAGTTTTTCTTTAGCGCCCACCTTTTTTTTTCTTTGTTTATTTTCTTTTTTTTCCTTTGGGGGACTGAGTTTAAAAAATTGTTGTTTAACTTGATTGTTTTCTGTTGCTATTTTAGAACTTCCCTCGTCTTAAATCATATACATGCAATGCACACAACAATGCACACAACATCACTTTTTCTTTCTCTTCTCTTTCCTAGTTTAAATTTTGGGCGGAGGTTTTAAAGGCGCTAACCTCACTACAGACAATATATATATATATATATATACACATGTGTGTGTGTATATATATATATATATATTATTATATTATTTTCAAATATTCTGGGCTTACGTAGTTACTATTTACTTAAAATTGTCTATTCTTTTCTGTCATCAATATTTGAATATTTTTGTTTCTGTCGTAGGTCCGTGACACGCCTGTCCAATACTTATACGTGTGTATGGAAGTCAGTCTCGGGGAAGGGCAAAACAAAGTTGTAAAATATTCTCAAAATAAAATAAAATAAAATAAACAAAATATTGCTTTTGTTCTCCCCTTTCTAAAATTCACACACACACACACACACAGCAGGATAGGAGAAATAAATTTTAATTCTGTTTATCCCACTTTAAATCTGTCGGTTTGTTTGAGTTAAAGCTTTTGGCCGCTGGAGGAGAGTACAAGAAGAATTCCCCATGTTGTTCTCCAAGACAGTTTTCAAAGTCCGGAACAGTTGCCTGGTATGTAAGATTACAGCACCGACGATGGAATGCAGTTCGGACGGAACGGAATTCCGCAATATTCTTGCCTCGGAAACGGAAAAAAAAATCTTACGATGCTACCGGCAAGTATTACATTCCTGACATATTCTCTCGCAATGCTTACAAGGCGGAGTGTCATCATTAGCAGCCACGTCACCGGATGTTAGCTAATTATCCGAGCACTAGCTACTTCCTGTCGTATTCACGGCACTTTCCCCTCATTCGCAAGCTCCCTTTCCACCCACCCTTTTTTTTTTTTTTTTTTTTTTTTTTTTTTTTAATTCTTTCCAAATCTCGCACCCTCTGCTAGACAGCTTTTTAACCCAGAGAGTCGTTAAGCTGTAATCTGCANTAATTATTTTTTTTCTTTGTAAATTTGGCCGTAAAACCATCTTTAATTTCATTATTTATTCTAGATTTCGAGGGTGTAAAATACACGTTTATTCCGAATCGGCTCTCTTTGATTTAGAATTTTTGGGGTATGAAATACCACTTTTGTTTTGGTGTTGTTCGGTGTGAAACCCGTCTTGCCCTGTGGTTTTTTTTTCTACTAACCAATCTCGATAATTCATTATAGTATTGTTGGGTTTTAAAAAAACCAAACCTTTCTGACGCCTGTGACGAAATGAAATAGTAGGAGCCAAGCTCGTAGACGAATCCTCCAGCGCCTCGTACGATGATTGAAGGGTTATTTCTTGAATCATTCACAATTGCGGACGGCCTCCCGCCCCGGTTAATGTAACAACGGCGGTGGCTGCACAATTATCGCGTATCGATAGCGTTATCTGGGCATCCGAACCCGTATCCGTTCAGGTGCATTACGCGGAGCCATCTTCTCCAAATGTTCTAATTCGAGCGCTATTCAGCCAAGCCACTTCGCCTGTTATTGACTCAGGAGTCATTTGTTTCCGTCTTATTAACTACAATAATTACATTGTAGCTGCCAGTGACATCGTCATTACCGAAATGCGAATAGGAGAGAGAGAGAGAAAGAGAGAGAGAGAGGATGGGGGAAGGAAGGAAGTAAAAAAAGAAGAAACTTGGAGCCGCAATTAAAACTTTACAAAGCAGGTACGGACACCTGTGGGATTCGAGATGACATTAATTGCTTATCCGATATCTTTAGCGCGCCCGTCTTCTCTAAACTTATCAGTAATTCATAAAGATAAGAAAGATGGTAATGCACACGTTACTCTTCTTTTATTTACGCTTTCTTTTCTACTGTTTAATTACTTTGTTTCATGCCTGTTGCTAATTATTGCGCACTAATCACTCGTGGCTTGGAAAAAGATGCTGTCTCAATTGTCATCTATACATCCACTTTATCAGTTTTAACAGACGTTTAATTATTTTAACGAATGAATTATAAAAGAAAACAAAAGATATATTCATTGTACAGTACGAGCCGTTAAAAATGGCGCGTTACATCGAGGTCGAACCATTGCAAACGTGACACTTTAAGCGAGTCTCTCGCCGCTCCCTCCCTTTTCTCTGTACCAAAAGATAAAGATGGTAATATCTGGTACGTTCGTTAATCCTTTTGTCCGTGTCACGCGACGTCCCCTGGGCCGTCTAATGGATCTAATTTTAGTCTTAATGATGTTATAAGGTCAATTATACATTGAAAAGCGTTGTGATCACGCGATGCTAACCAGTGGTTTCTTGTTGACTTCGCAGCTGGTTCTTCCCCATATAACATGGTGCCAACATCTCAAGGTGGACAGCCAGGCCAAATGATCAGTCCACCTCCTCCGGGCAGCGCTCCGCCCCAGGACGGTTTATATAACATGAGCATGAATGGTGGCGATACTTACCAGCCAGTCTCTTCCATGGGAGCCAATGTACAGTCACAGGTAGGCCTAGTATGTATCCTGCAATTTTTATTTTACTTAAGTATCTTATTACTCTACCACTCCAAACTTAATTTTAATTCTATTTTCATATATTGCAAGTAGGAAACACATTGTTTTTGAAGTGATTTAGGGGGAGGGACCATCTCTCTCTACAAGCGTTAAAAAGCGTGTTTCAGTTCAATTAAACTCTTTCAGTGGCCATTTTTCTCTTCTACAATTCGAAGAGTAGGGATGAAAATTCCGATTTTGCTGCAGCAATGAGAAAAAATTTGTGTGTGAAGGAGTGAAGTAGGAAAGAAAACAATTAAATTAGTCATATAAAAAATAAATTCTTTAATATCATTCATAAGATTCATTCATACTTTTAATAAGCTCTGTATAAACAACCTCAAAGCTCTTGGAAGGGGAAGGAAAAGAAAAAAAAAAGCAAGCAAGCTATCATTTCTTCTCGTAAAAATATATTTTTAGCCACTTCAAAAACAATGAGAAAATAATATTTTCTTTGTAAACATTAGAAAATTTTAAATCTCGAAATTCCTTTATCAAAATAATTTTTTTCTCTTTTTATAATCACCTAAGCTGTCAATGAAATCTGTTATTTTTCAATTAATTAATAAACAATTAATGGAAAAATGTAATTATTACGATTCTAAAACGTATTCTATAAGTGAAACAAGCGAAACAAAATGGCTATATATTAATGTTACGGATAGATCTACAAACAGCTACAATAATAATAATAATTATGTGTATCTTCTAGAAGAGTTTCAATCAAAAGTAACTCTTGATTTATTAAATGTCAAGAACAGAATGACATTTTTTTTTTTTAAATAAATAAATCTGTCAAGTAAAATTTTGTGGGTGTATTAATGGATTTTATAATATATATATATAATTTTTTCATTAATGTCGGTTAAGATCTTTAATTATCTTTCAGTATCCAATCTGTTAATCAATTGAAAACTTAAATGAGAATGAATTTTGATTTAGAGATTAGAATGTCAAAATTTTAATAGAAACTTAATCTTTCATTGTCAAATAATCTTTGCAGAGATGTGCCATGATTCTGTGTTTTTTTTTTTCTTTTCTTTTCTTTCTTCCCCTTCCTCCTGCAGAATAATAAATCCATTCTAATAAGCGTTTGTTTAGCAAAAAGCACAGACTCTTCTCCAAATTAAAATTTATGTCTTAATTTCATTTTCCTCGTTTCTCTTGTTGATTTTTCTAACAAGGCCTCTCGCATCCGTACACATTTCTGTGTTTTATGTAAGAGTAAATGAAAAATTGGTGAAAATAATCCTTATAAAAGTTTCGTGTTTTCTTACATAAAATCGGGAGTTTTCTCTCCTTATTTAAGCGTGTTTTTGTGTTATTTTGTGTATGTAAAATCGAGGGTTTTTTTTTCCCTTCTTTAAAACGTGTTCGTTAAGGTACTTTGGCGTAATTAGAAAAACAATCTGGCACTGTTGCGTGTTTCTTTAATCGGCTGAAAGGTAGCCAGAATCCTCCAGTTTGCATTATGTTTGTGTGTGTGTGTGTGACTGGGAATTCTCTTCTAAAAATGCTTCACAAAGATCACTTAACTAATTTTTTTTTTTCTTTTCTTCCTCGTTTTACAACCGCTCATTTGTACTGACGATGACCATTTTTATTTCCAGGCCAACGCTCTCAGGCATGTCATCTCGCAAACAGGGGGTTTCTCAGACGGTCTTAGTGGACAGTCTGCGGCAATGTACGATCCCAGCATGCATCAGGTGGGCCTCTAACCTAAATTCTATCTAACATTCTCTAAAACCGTCTATCAGTTACGGCCCTACTATAATTAATTTTTGTTATATATTGACAGGCAACGGAGCTTCACCCCTAGTTGAAGTTGAAGAGCGGCTAGCCGAAACCGAACGTTGGCTGTTTCGACACATCGTGCCAGTCCGAAATGTGTATCCAAAACGAAAATAAACAAAACAGCAACACGAAAATAAATAAAAAAAATCAGCCGCCCTCGATACATCTGCGGAAGTCTCACGTCTGGACCAGAGTGGCTCCCACCTGGAGGCGGGTGAGCCATCACATCTGATCTCTGAGGATGTGTCCGAATTTTTGTACAGAAAAACATCAATCAATCTCTCTCTCTCTGTACAGATCACATGTTGGACGGGTAATGTCTTCTCCCGTACATCTGTACGTTTGTCCAATCGTCCGCTATTATCAATGTCAGCCGTCCACTGTGGTGGGCAATATGGCGTCATCATTTTGGATCTCGACTGTTATTTGTTCATTATTTTGAGTTATACTACTGCCAGGGGGGATAATATTGGAGCTGTTATTGATTTTTTGAGAATAGGGTTGGATTTCTAACTCTTTATGCAATAAATCAGTTGAGAAGAAAGGAACACAAAAGAGGTAACTGCTACCTCGGAAATTCTCTCATTCTCATTATCTATCTCTCGCCTGGTGGTGTAGTTAGGCTGTTTGTACATTGATATTTCACCCTGTATAAACTTGTAACCTGTACAGAAACGTGTTCCCAAATTCCTCTTACCCCCTAAGAAGAAAAAAAAAAGCTGGAAAAACAATTAGTTCTCCACCGTGTCTGTAGTCAATAAAAAGGTATTTTTCCCTTTCAACAAATCTCTCTCGACTCTTTTTTTTATTATTTTTTAGACACTCGAAAACACAGAAGATATTGTAAATTAACTAAACTTAAACTTAAAAAAATATATATATATATTTATTTATTTTTCTTCAATAAGAAAGCTGGAAACATGAACAATGTTTGCATTTATTTTATCCCGTTTTTCTCTTAGCCAGTTGGCAATAAAAGTGATACTAAAAATAACCTAAATATCAGGTGTAAATAAAACACCTTTGCACGACATTATTACCAAGGGGCAATATCTGGACGGTTTATAAAGCCAAAGGCGCACTAGGGTTTTGCCTTAGTGGGCAGTATGGTTTCTCTGCACGTGGAAACTATCAACTCTATCACAAGTGGAGCCACACTATTTATGTTGTGGTGAAAGTGGCACTTTGCCTCCCGTCTACATTGCTTCCGTCGTTATCACGTCAAGACTGTCAGCATCTCTCTTTTCGTTTCGACGTGACTACACGTATTGCAGGCCACCATATTGAATAGAGTCGCACATATAAGCCATTGAGGGAAAGCAAACCATTATCTGTAATTATGGACCTTAAACGTCCATAATGGAATCTCCCTCTTCAATTTTTGATTAGGAAAAAATAAAGAAGAAAAAAAAACCACCCTCTCTTCTTTTTTTTTAAGATTAAAATGGTTCTGTTATGTAAAGGAGTCCTTTCCAATTTTAAATGTAATTGTTCTCTAAGCGTGGGGAAGAGGGGGAGATTCAAAATTAGAGAAATAATTGTTATTGCTGGACAGTTTTGAGCCAGATGACGATTTTTTTTTTTTAGTTTATTTACGCAAATTTTGCACTTAAAAAAATGATTTAAAATTATAAAATTAGCATAAAATTCTTAAAGAAAAGAAAATAAAAAAAATTTCTCATTGGATTCCTATTTTTATCCAAGTAGTTTAACATCAGACTGATTGTTTAGTAGAAGAAAAACTGTTTTCACTGTAGGATGTAAGGATCGCCTGCAACTATTAGTCAGCACACCACATGTTCTGTTAGTGACAATGTAGCAAGATGAACGGATAAAAAACTTCAGTTAAAGAACACCGGGGGCGGAGAAGGGGGCTCACATTAACACGGCAATCACATCAGTCAAGAACAAAGCCATTATAGAGTTGAGAAGAACATTGGTGCCGACTATCGGCTGTTACGTGGTGCAAATATCAATCACTACTCACCCACTTCTAGACACGTGTATTGATTTCTTTAATTAATGCCACCCACCGAAATAGATGGGATTTTTGATGTATTAATTTTCCTCGTGTACACTCTCTCTCTCCAAATTCGTTGGAGCATTTCTCTATATTGCATCTACGATCACGTTTGGTAACGTAGGAGGATATTTTTATAAAGTAATATTTTCTTTTATTAATTTTTATTATGGATGTCCAGTTTTTGGACATCCATAAACATGATATGGTATAATATTTAAAAATAATAATAGGTAAATGTTGTGCAGTTGAAAGCTGCAAGACGGATGGTGTGGTGGATTCGAAACTCTCCCCCCTTTCCTAGTGACCAGCAATAAGTGGACGTCGGAATCCATCCGTCTTCTGTCTACTGTATCGGACCAGATTCTTCAATATCTCCTGCCTCCTCCCCATCAATATCCTCGAATTACCTCCAGTAACATCGTTAACGGCTACCTACTATAAATCGTTGGACCACCAGCTCCACTGGAGGGACAACTTTAGATATAAATTCTCCATTTTCTTCCCCATACCGCAGCCAATAATCTGCTACCCACAGGTGGACATTCCTCCACTTTTTTTTTCCTTTAGTTTCCTGGTGGGAACTATTCCCCGTCTTCTTTTATAACTTTATTAATAATTTATCTGCTATGTCACGATTAGTGTCGAGCTCTTAAAAGAAATAAAAAATAAAATAAAATAAGGCGCGACGGGTAGTTCAATTTAGACGATGATATTGCTACTGTAGTAGAATTTCAGCGCTCCGGCTTCTCTCGCCAATCGATTTTGAGGACCGGGTGTTAAAAAAGTATTCGAACCAGGCAGTGCTGGTCACGTGACGGGCGTCGATAGAAAATCGATCATTCGGGGGGATACGAGAGACCAAACTTAACCACTAGGAACCACTGGAAATTTTTTTAATAATGCATGGATTAATTTTGCTTCCAGCATAAAATATGCTTATGGTTACATGGTACTCATTGAGAGAGAAAGGCGACTTAGACTGGTCCAGAGCCTTGTGGACATCACGTTAATAGAATAATAAATAGGGTGGTTATGAATTTGGTATCCCATGGTGGATTTAGTGCAGAGCCTCCTGATAGATTTCTTACTGTGGTCACAAGAGAATGTGCTGAATACAAACGACAGAAAAGACCGGGGTGATCGCCAATTGTCTTGCTCTGGCACGTTTCTCCTGCAGAAGGCACATTTTTGTCACTTCTTGTCGTCTCTGTCTGTCATTGGACTGAAAACATGGACTTTTCATCAACGTTCTAACCCCCCTGTGATTTGATCAAATGGATTTATAGCTTTCGTGATTATTATAGTCAATTGGTAAAGGAATGAAATGGTTTTTGGTATGCCGACTGTAAACAGGACGGCAAATATTGGATCTGGCTTTCACTTCATAACTTTTACTCAGCTTCTCTTTCTCAGAAAGACTGATCGATAATTAGTCTACACATATCTCTCTATCCCAGCGGTATTTTACTTTTGTGATTTCTCTAACGTGTCAATCACAAAGCCTTGTACAATTCTCCAAAGTGGCCTAAACTTTGACGTTTCCTTCATCTCCTTCCCCTTTATTTCCTTCATTTTCTAATCTGTAAAACTTCCTAAACCGAGTGCAAGTTTCACAGGATTAAGTGAGTGAACTGTCGGTGTCAGTCGTGCTGACTGACAGTTAATCAAGGAGCTACTATGTTGCTTAAGGTTATTAATTGAAAAATAATGAAAAATGATTATTAAAATTAAAACAAAACATTTATATAAGCCGGGTATTACCCTTCAAAAGAAAGGAAGGAGTCAAAGAGCGGAAGCGGACTTCCGTATGCCATAAACACTTAACAGAAGATCGTTGGGTAGTTAAGGCACATTAACCACTAATGAGGTGCAGTAAAAATTTAACTACCGGTAAAATTAATAACGCAGAAAACCTTAAAATTTCAACGCTAAAGGGAGGAACAGAAACGATTCTAGCATTACATGAGATGACGTTAATGTTTGCCTGGAAGCATGCTGTGAAAAATATACTTATCAAATCGTTTAAACTCATATATGGCTTCTCTGTATGGTAGGCGAAAACTGCGGTGAAGAATGCATCACAGGGGTTCTGCTAAATGATAGGTGTTAATCCTTCGATCCGCTTGATGCGTAATTTCCTTCACGTTCCGTATATCCGCCTTATAAAAAGTAGATAAAATCATTTTAAATATTTTCTTAACTTTCTAAAATCTTATTTTAAAATTCATTTTTATAAAATCTTCTTCCCTTCCAAAAAGCCAGCGCCATTTATCTAAAACGTTTCTACTCCGGACAATAGAGAAATATTATTTTTAGCAAGAAAAACACACGTGTCTGTCATTCGGGAACAAAAAAAAAAGAAAATAAGGGGGAACTAAATTTAATTATTTGTTTATAACTAACTTTTCCTCTCTGACAAAAAAATAAAAAAAAAGTATTCGCAGTCCAAGCTCCATCGTTCACCTGAGGCTATATAGGGGGAAAAACCTGAATTATGGACGGTCCAGCAAGCTATCGACGCTTCAACCCGGAGGCTGTGTGTCTCCAGTCGGAAATCATCCTAGATTTAATGGTTGGTACGCCTTAGGGTCGGGCTTAGGGTCTATTGCAGTTCTCACTTCCTTTCGACGTTCTAATACTTCCAACACCTCGATAACGTACTTGTGCTATTGTTAAAGTAGATCGTTAAATCTACCGGGACTGCATCCATTGTAGACACCTGTACTATCTATCAGTCAGGTGATGGTTCTTCCCCTCTCCTATGCACCGATTCACATATAGAAGGTGTCGATTGAACTGATTTATAGTTAGTAAATGAATACGGTCCTCTCTCTCTCTGTTCGGTAGCATCACCCCGTCTCGACCGGGGGATAGATAACAGTTAAAAAATTTATAGTTTGGTGGTCTCAAAAAAAAAAAAAAAATAGAGTGACAAGCGTAAAAATAATTCCTTAACTGCAATAAATATTAAATGCGATATATTTTAATTTAACGAGTTTACTTTCTGACGTTCTTGTTTTCTTGTAAATTTAATTTTGATTCTGACTGTTTGACAGAAAGAAAAGCAAGATAAGCCTATTACTAAGCTGTACGAATTTTTTTATTTTTTTTATTTTATAAACCATCTTTTGTTCTTTTGTCTCTCGGTGTCACTCCACTTCAAAATTTTTCTTAATTTATTTAAAATGTCTCCTGTTGCCTAGATTATTTTTTGGTTTATGAAATTTTATTCAATATTTTTAACTCGATAAATATTTATATATCATTTTTTTTATTTATTCTTTTAATTTAAAGACTTTACGTCACATTCTTTATATTTAGATGCTGGTAATAACAAATTCTTNGGCTAACAGTTGATATATATATATATATATATATGAAAGGAAAAAAAAAACTAATGATTCTTATTAGGGAGAGGGTGTGCATTATACATAAAAAAACAGTATAAATTGTAAGAAAGATTCTTCCCGCTGCTAGTGAGGGGGGAAAGGAAATTTAAATATCCTAACGCGATACACAGTAAAAAAAAATTGTATGTAGGCTAGTTAGCAAAGCAGTTAAGTCGTGCAAGGCAGACAGCATCACAGGGTTTATAGAAAGTGACAGTAAATCCAACAATCCTTTATAGAGAAAAAAAAAGCGAGATTTTTTTTTATCGACTTCTTTTTTAACATGGTTAAAAAATTTAATTATAGTGTCTAAGAGTACAGACGCCCGAGAGCGAATTAAAAAAAAAGCCTCTTTATGTGTCGGTGATGGAGTTGATCATTGACTTAAATGCATCAGTCTTCCATCTTCAACACAAATTATTTTCTTGCGGGAGGGACTACAGCGAAAAGAGTTCAACCCGCTTATTATTTCGTAAGTAATGATTTTCGTCAGTCTGTTTTTCTTTTTCCTACCCCCTTCGCGAGCCGCTACTACTACTACTTCTACTACTACTACTACTTTTCTTTTCCTTTCTTCTTTCTTTTTTTTTTTTTTCGGGGCGAGTGTCTGCCACTTCAATGAATCCAATAATCTTTAAGACCAGTTTAAATAATGAAGTAGAAATTACGAGAGGTTTGTAAGACGCTCCAATGCTCTGACTTTCATGTCGCCAGTCAAAAGGGGATGTCAATTTGCGATGAAAAATATCTATCTTAATTCTTTTCACCGTCACAAAAACCAGAGTAGAGACTGCCACAATAGATTACTATTCATCATGTTCAATGGCCCGGATTTAGATGACCCTCCAATAGGGATCGTGCACCTTAGACGAATTAAAACGATCGAATATCTAACTCGTTCCCCCCTCTCCTCCATACACAAGCCGGGGAAAAAAAAGGGAGTTAAAACACAATTGTTTTGTTTCGGTTTTCTACTTCTGTTCCTCTCGCTCCCTTCCAAGTCTAATTGGTGAGGAAGAACAGTGATAATGACTATATGTGAATCCTTCAATGTCTACCACAGTTCGCTTGCTGGCAATTGGCAACGGATGACCGATTCGGAGAATTTGTTCCATTTCTGACATATATTGTTCATTATGACTCCCACTCTCTTTCTAAATTATTTGTGCTCCACTGCTCTCTCATCCCAGCTCGTTTCCAGCTACCCAAGCCGGAAATCTTGAGAAACCCAAAACTTGGAAATGTTTAAAATAATTACGATCATCCTAAATGAGAATTTTTCTTTCTTTCTAGTTTATTTTTTTTTCTTCTTCTTCTTATTCCTTCCCCTTCTTCGATTTTATTTAATGGATATATCTTCTCTTACTTCTGTCTATTGCACCTTTATGGGTTTGAAGAAACTTTTTCATTTCTAGGGGTTTAAATTTCGGTTTCGAGCCAGATTTAAGAGGTTTAAACTCTTGTAGAAGGATCCAATTTTTAATGGATTTTCTTTTATTATGTTTGTTGTTTAGACCAAGATGAAAATTTTAATGGATTCTCTTCATTATGCTCCTTATTTATATCACTGTTTGTTTATTTAAATACTTATAATACACACCTCTTTCCCTTTATGTAAATTTAAAATGTCCAACTCTTATACACATAAATTTTTTTAAAGGTTCTTCTTCATATCTTTTCCATAGTTAAATATTAAAATTTTAATTTGTTAAGGTCACAGACTCTTCTCCAAATTAAAATTTATGTCTTAATTTCATTTTCCTCGTTTCTCTTGTTGATTTTTCTAACAAGGCCTCTCGCATCCGTACACATTTCTGTGTTTTATGTAAGAGTAAATGAAAAATTGGTGAAAATAATCCTTATAAAAGTTTCGTGTTTTCTTACATAAAATCGGGAGTTTTCTCTCCTTATTTAAGCGTGTTTTTGTGTTATTTTGTGTATGTAAAATCGAGGGTTTTTTTTCCCCTTCTTTAAAACGTGTTCGTTAAGGTACTTTGGCGTAATTAGAAAAACAATCTGGCACTGTTGCGTGTTTCTTTAATCGGCTGAAAGGTAGCCAGAATCCTCCAGTTTGCATTATGTTTGTGTGTGTGTGTGTGACTGGGAATTCTCTTCTAAAAATGCTTCACAAAGATCACTTAACTAATTTTTTTTTTCTTTTCTTCCTCGTTTTACAACCGCTCATTTGTACTGACGATGACCATTTTTATTTCCAGGCCAACGCTCTCAGGCATGTCATCTCGCAAACAGGGGGTTTCTCAGACGGTCTTAGTGGACAGTCTGCGGCAATGTACGATCCCAGCATGCATCAGGTGGGCCTCTAACCTAAATTCTATCTAACATTCTCTAAAACCGTCTATCAGTTACGGCCCTACTATAATTAATTTTTGTTATATATTGACAGGCAACGGAGCTTCACCCCTAGTTGAAGTTGAAGAGCGGCTAGCCGAAACCGAACGTTGGCTGTTTCGACACATCGTGCCAGTCCGAAATGTGTATCCAAAACGAAAATAAACAAAACAGCAACACGAAAATAAATAAAAAAAATCAGCCGCCCTCGATACATCTGCGGAAGTCTCACGTCTGGACCAGAGTGGCTCCCACCTGGAGGCGGGTGAGCCATCACATCTGATCTCTGAGGATGTGTCCGAATTTTTGTACAGAAAAACATCAATCAATCTCTCTCTCTCTGTACAGATCACATGTTGGACGGGTAATGTCTTCTCCCGTACATCTGTACGTTTGTCCAATCGTCCGCTATTATCAATGTCAGCCGTCCACTGTGGTGGGCAATATGGCGTCATCATTTTGGATCTCGACTGTTATTTGTTCATTATTTTGAGTTATACTACTGCCAGGGGGGATAATATTGGAGCTGTTATTGATTTTTTGAGAATAGGGTTGGATTTCTAACTCTTTATGCAATAAATCAGTTGAGAAGAAAGGAACACAAAAGAGGTAACTGCTACCTCGGAAATTCTCTCATTCTCATTATCTATCTCTCGCCTGGTGGTGTAGTTAGGCTGTTTGTACATTGATATTTCACCCTGTATAAACTTGTAACCTGTACAGAAACGTGTTCCCAAATTCCTCTTACCCCCTAAGAAGAAAAAAAAAAGCTGGAAAAACAATTAGTTCTCCACCGTGTCTGTAGTCAATAAAAAGGTATTTTTCCCTTTCAACAAATCTCTCTCGACTCTTTTTTTTATTATTTTTTAGACACTCGAAAACACAGAAGATATTGTAAATTAACTAAACTTAAACTTAAAAAAATATATATATATATTTATTTATTTTTCTTCAATAAGAAAGCTGGAAACATGAACAATGTTTGCATTTATTTTATCCCGTTTTTCTCTTAGCCAGTTGGCAATAAAAGTGATACTAAAAATAACCTAAATATCAGGTGTAAATAAAACACCTTTGCACGACATTATTACCAAGGGGCAATATCTGGACGGTTTATAAAGCCAAAGGCGCACTAGGGTTTTGCCTTAGTGGGCAGTATGGTTTCTCTGCACGTGGAAACTATCAACTCTATCACAAGTGGAGCCACACTATTTATGTTGTGGTGAAAGTGGCACTTTGCCTCCCGTCTACATTGCTTCCGTCGTTATCACGTCAAGACTGTCAGCATCTCTCTTTTCGTTTCGACNAAAAAAAAGAAGGAGGAAAAATTCGTATATAAGTGTTTTTTTTTCGTTTATTAAAAATTGCAACTTACTGCATTTTATTAGTTGCTTTTGTACTAAAGTTTTAATCAATGTTTAATGCGTTGTTTCCGAAGATGATGAGGAGGATACGTATTTGGATTTTTCTAGTGGATTTAATAAAAAAAATTCTATACTTTTTATAAATTAAATTGTTTAAATCGCTTGGAAATTCTCAAAAATATATAATATAAACATTTTAATAACAAAATAAATTTTATTTCTCCATTTTCTTTACGTTACAAAAAACTTCGTGGCCACTTTCTTCACGTATTTTAGGACCTGTAAAAGAAATTTTGTGATTAGAACGTGGCTAGAACGTCACACTTTTGAATTTTTTAGGGAATTATTCGAGTGTCTATTTTCTGTTTCGGTAGAGGCGAAGATATTGGTCGGGAGCATCTCGGTCTATTAGCGCCATCTTTTGGAGCACCCTCGCACTTTTCGAAAAGTTTAGGGTATTTTTGTAAGTAAAATAACGAAATTTTATATATTTATTTTAAAAAAATAATAATTAAAAATATTAATAAGAATAATAAATTATTTATTTATTTCCTCTCCTTTACTCCTCTCTCGTTAAAAGTCGAGGGTGGTTAAATTGTATTAAAAAGTGATAGAAGAATAGGAGTTATGTTAAGTATTTAAGTGGGTATTTTTAACGATGGAAAGCACCCAAAGTAGGAACCACCTGTGGGCTCTCGCACGTGATTAGGGTAGACCAATCGGAAGTAAAGTTCCCGCCCAGGTTTAGGAGGCAAGAAGGCAATGCTTGACTAACCTATCATTTTGGCCGACCGACAACTCCGCAAGCGGAATAAGCTCTTTAAAGAAAGATAGAAAAAAAAAAACCCGGGGTTCTGTCTAACTACCAGGTTTCTAGAGTAACGCCCTTGCCGGCGGTCTGTGAGGTTGTGTTGTGAAGTGGGGGAGGAGATACCAAGAGGGTAGCTACTTTCTAACCTATAATCTGCGACTGTCTGTGAGACCAGGTGATGGATAGCTGGGTAGGGTACGAATTATGATCAACTTGAGCTACGCATTATTGATTTTGACACCAATGGCAAATCTTGCGGTTTTACAACAATGCATAATACCTAAATGCGCGTATTAATGTACCAGTCGATGGTCAATTTGACCCGATAACGGTTGAGAAAAATTATGTTTTTTTGCTCTTTTATAGAGAATTTTTTAATGGTTAAAAAAAAAATTTATAAGTGGTCCTACTTGTGTGGGATTAAAAGACAAAACGTCGAAAGTGCAATCTATAATGACTCACGTACTATCTACGAATCAGTAGCTGCAATAACGTTCAATTATCGTTTCTCTCTATCAATGTCAAGCAGTTATAACATCATCCAAATGTACAGTTGTGGAAAAAACCTACCAATTGGTACTCTCCTAGAAATGACTTCTCAAGGACGAGAGAGTGGTAGGTTAGGCCCTGAGTGCAATTAGACATGGAAGGAGAAAAACTGTTTCTGACAGTACTTTAGATGTTTATGTAAGTACCGGTTGTAATGAGCCCGGGACAATTATAGAGTGTTGGGATGTAAGAAAAGTCCAACCGAGACAGGGGACACCCAATGACAAGCTTACTTAATAAGGGTATTCGTTTAAACGGGAGGGAATTGATCAGCCTTTTAAGCAATTCAACTCGCTACTAATAATTGCCGTGTTGCCAATCCTGACAATGTTGTCGATATTTACATATATAGAGTGGTAATTACTTTCCTCTTGAAATACATGTCGTCGTTGCGAAGATTGATTGCTTAACTATCATTCGAATGATACAGATCTACAATCTGATATCTATAATGACTTTTGATATCCATTCAACCCCCCTCCTCGCGGATTATGCGCATCTTCTTTCGTCGTTTTTCTTTCTGGCCCTATTAAATCCAATGCAATACTTCGAGGACCGAACGAAAACCTTGCATTCTGCAAGAGATTTGCCACTCGAATTTCCTCTTTCCTCTTCTTGTTTCTACTCTAATCTCCAAAAAAAGAACATTGCAATACCCTAATTCTTTACTTTTTTACAGTATTAGATAAGAATTTATCAGTTTCGTTTATAATTTCTCATATAAAATACACAATAAATTTTAAAATTAATTAGTTTTATCCACGAAAAATGGAACGAAAATCAAGAAATACACTTCATATATTTATATTTTAACCATAATTCGATCTTAAATGAGATATAAATTACGTAAAAGGTTATCAGATCGTATGTGAAAGTGGCTCGTAAAGGGTTATTTATGTATGGTATGTGCCATATTTTTTAACGTTTACCACTTTCCATAAAATGGAATATTTGATAAAAATTCTTAAAAAAAACAAAGTTAAGTACTTAATTTATCGAGCTATTATTATTAAAATAGCATGGTTAATATATTTTGACCGGGGTTTTCGCTACCAAAAAATAGAAAAACTGTCGTAGTAAAAGGGTTTTTCTACATTTGATAAGATGTTTTATCACTAGCCCGGAGCCTAAAACCCGTAAACAACGCGCGGGACGAAATGTCAGTGTCCCATTCTAATATATCTGTCATCCGAACGACCTTTGAACTCCACGGGGCAAGGCCGTCAACCTAGGGTGGTCAGGTTGGATACGGTTGATCCCCCACTGGGAAGTCGAGAAAGCAACGTCTGAAATTACGTCTTGCAAAAGAACAAGAAGATTTTTCTTGGCAGGACTCATATTTATGATGTCGGCTACTTTGTAACCGACTAAGGGGTGGAGTATATTTCGGAAATGCTCCGGGGTCCTCGAAGGGAAATGTTAACTTTGGATAGCTACACAACAATGTATGATATGTGCACTTTAAATTACTCCCGAGGTAAAAATCACTCCCTCCAAAGTAAAAAAAAAAAAACCACACTACAAAACTCCGAATACCTTCTACCTAATTTACTTCTTCACCGCACAAAAAAAAAAAGAAATTTTCAACAATAAAACACGGGCGAGACATATATGGGAGTTTTGCTTTTGGTAGGAGTTAAAATAGAGGATAATCTACTTTGACGTATTTTTGAAAAATCACAGTTGAAAGCTCAAGGCAAGGTAGCTTCTACCCTAACTAATTATACGTTAGAGTATGGTAAAGCGGAGTTAGTAATGCAGTAGTTCCAAATGAGGAGGTTGTGACATCTGCTCGGTAATATCTGTAGATTTAGATAACAGTATTTATCATTCTCTCTTAAATTTTACAAAGGGACTGTTTTGGTTAGTTTAACACGTGATTGACACTTGACTATTGTTAGAGGATGTGTACGACATGCGGGACATGGTCGGCGACACATGCTCCGCACGCATAGCCTTTTTTTTTTTTTCTTTCTTCGGCATCATCCTCAGTTTCCTATATTCATTTTTGCTTCCTGTGTGAACGGCGGTTCTGTCTGGTGGTTTTGTGATGTGACAGGAGGAAGCTCTTAGCGAAATGGGATGGAATCGCGGATAAAGAAATTATTGTGGTGATATGGGAAATTGCAGGCTAACTACCTACGCAAATGTTATACTCGTTACGCGATGCAGTCATGTCTGAAATAATCCAATTTCGTTCAGAGATTTTTCTCCTATAGTTCATTTACAGTTCAACTACGCTTTCCACGTCTTCGGTCCCTCGATTTAACCAACTCTTTTTCTTTATTTCAACAGGGAAAGAAAAAAGAAGTCGTCAGAATAGTTGAAAAGGTGATGAATCAAAATAAAAATTCAGTTAGTCAGACATTTAAAAAGCATTTATTTTAATGACCTTCGCTAGAAAAACAATGGAACAATTTCAAACAATCATTTTATGCTTGCATAAGCAAGCAAATTTCAGCACTTGTAATTTTTTTATGCACGTAAATTCAAATGTTTTTTTTTATTATTATATTATTATTATACAAATAATCATACCCGAAATTATTTTTAGTATATTAAAACATTTAAAAAAAAAAAATATTTTGCTACCTTTAAAAGGTAACAATCCGAACAATTTAACTACCTTTTCCAATCGCCATTTTGAATCTAATTAATGACTTATGCTGTGTATATATATATAATTTTTTTTTGTTTCTCTCTCTCGATTTATTATGATTCAAATGATAATTTGGTTTGGGCAATTAGATCTCTTGTCTGACAGAGTAAGGTAGACAGAGAGAGGGATTATTGTTTCTGACGTCATCGAACAGAAGAGTGACGGCTTCATTAAGCTCTACGACGCATTACCTATAAAAGAATAGATCGTAGATCAGACAGAACAAAAGTTACACATGCGAAGTCTGACAATTCGTGACGTGTGATGGACATTGTACACGAGTGAACCAAGCTACCACGTTATTGTTGGGTGCATTACCTAATAGAGCTCGGGGCCACATTTCCATTCGTTAAATAAACAGATCTTTTTGTTAAATAAACCCTTGTGTGGTATGTTTTGTTGGTTTAATAATAATAAACGAAAAGGAAAAAAACTAAACATTGTTTCTTTCTAC